ATTATATCATTTTACAATGATACCAAGGGAGGCACCGATTGCTTCGATCAAATGTGCCACGAGTACACCACAACAAGGAAAACCCTTCGGTGGCCTATGCGTTTCTGGTACGGAATGCTCGATCAAGGAGGAATCAACGCGTTGATTTTGTACAATTTCAACATTGGAAATCCAAACCTGGTTCGAAGAGAATTTTTGAAATAACTTGTTAGAAGTCTCATTGAACCACACTTACGGGTACGCCTGCGTGTGCCGACCCTCCGTCGCGAATTGCATTTCTTGATAGAGACTATACTGGAGATTCAAGCACCACCACCAAGGAGTCTCCCAAATACAAAAAAATATTCACGCTGTAGCTTTTGTCCGAGGGCAGCCGACAGAAAAGTTAAAACGTATTGTGAACGCTGCCGTCGTGCAATTTGTGACGAGCATAGAATAACCCTGTGCTGTTTTTGCTCAGCAACTGATTAAAACCTTTTATTTTACTGTTTCCATATACTTTTGACTACCTTTCAAATAAATAATAATTGACAGAATCTGTTTTACTTTCCATTTCTTGCGATTTTTCCCATCCGACAGTTTTTCGTCATTTCCTCTACTTCAGATATTCAAAGAAATATGTTTTTTTTAAGAAACAAAAAAATCTCTTACATGCCCTTGAAGGTTGTCTATTCGTCTTTCAAAATCCGTTGGAAATTTCAAAATCGGTGAATTTTATGAAAAACTACAGCATTTTTTATAAAAATAGTCATTTCAGCCCAATTTTTGGTTCTTTTTCTTGTTTTTCGAATTTTTTTTACTGTTTTTTTTTTACTACCGCAAATTGATGACTACTATCGTCTTCCCTATTAAACAACAAACAAAAATATCTATTATAAAGTTTTCTAAGAACATTCTGGAAATATTATACACGCGGTACAAGTTTGGGGTATCGTCACACCCCAGTGAGTCATTCACGTATGAGAAAAATAAGTGAGTCTGTCTAGGGCTAATAATAGCTTTGATATTTTATTCAAGTCTCGTGTACGTTTTGTATCGTGTGAGTAAAGTGTACGTGCAAGCATGCAAATATTGTTGAAACATTCGGGGAGTTCCCTCTATTTTTGGAAATATGCAAAATTCTTGAAAAATAAAAAAATTCTTGAAAATACGGAAATTTCTTCGAAATTTGAGAAGTTTTTGAAAATGTGACAAATTCTTGGAAAGTTCGATAGTGCAACCAACCTGATCATTATGCACAGGTAGTCCAACAATAAACCACAACTATTATTATAATTATCAGGATTGGGCGTTTACGCGTAAAATATAATAATCTATATCTGCATGCAATATGCAATGTAAATTATGTTTAACTCATGTGAACGAGTAATCCATGAATCATCGAACATTTATATTTCATCAGAAATATGGAAAAATATTTTGTTTCCAACTTTGTTTTTAGTTACCATTATTTAGTTTGGAAATAATTTTTAGAATGCCACAAAGAATTGACAGTAATCAGATCAGCGTAAATAATATTTTTATGTTATTATATAGTATTATGTAACACTGTACAGTTAATTGATAAGTAAATTATAACTGAAATGCATCTAATCTAATCTAAAACTTTTATTTTTTTAAGATTGTAAAAATATAATTTAAAAAATCAATTAATTAATCAATCAGTTAAGTTATAATAATAATAATAATTTACAAGGCTTATTTTGTTAACATGAAAAAAGTTTGTGTAAACAGTGTATAAACAATCCATATAGATACAATCTTGAAATTTACGTCACAATTCTGTTCCTGATACTTTGTCGATTTTTGAGAATTAAAATTTTTGTCATTAATTAACGTCGACAACTAGAGATAGAATTCTTAATTACAAACGGTTGATAAATCATCAGCAAATTTACCGACTACAAATAATTATCAACCTTAGTTACAATACCAACTAGAATAAATTAATTTCGAGATCTTCCTTAGCGACATAGTTTGCCAATGTGTTCCACAGTTTCCCGCTTCTCTCGCGATCGTTTACCTCATAAATCGAAAATATAACTTTCTCCAGTTTGAAATTTCAAACTCAAACGCGCGCATTTCTTTAGCTATAATATCTTTTATTCCTTTCTTCGCGGCGTGAAATGATAGTCTTTAAGTTACATCTTCCTGACGAACCGATCATCGTCGAAATTTTACCGCCTCGATTGCGACACGAGACTTACAGAATTGTAAGTCAACGAAGTAGGTACATATGTGGTGCATTATTATTATTAATTCCGCAATAGTCGATCTCGATAGAAGTGTCGCGGATATATTACGAAATTTTCTATTATACTCCGTTACAATAATTATACATTTATGCATTAACACTTTGAAGCTGAATATAAAAAAAATTTGAAAAAAAACATGAAAACATTTATTATACATACAAATAAAAAAATATTCAAAAGAATAATAAAAAGATCTCACCAAAGCGCTCCATAAGTAAAAAATTAAAGGTGGTTTTGTATCAAAACCAGGAAGCCTCTACCAGTAGTATAAAATAGTGGTTTCACAGAAAAACCACTGGGACGGAAAGGGTTAACGATGGACACGCGAGGATAGAGGGGAAACAGACCGATCTCGCGATTTACATCGTATAAGGTATATTATTTATTATATCTTATGTACATCAACATCGTCTTGACAACACCATAGGAAAAATTGTTTTTAGACACGTTCCAAAATTTGTCGACAGTAACTCCCTGCTCGCGCTCTTTTTTTCCCCCCCTCTTTGCATTCTCCTTTATACAATGAATCGAAGACACACGGAGGTGATTCGCCAATTAACCAATTTTTCTTTTTTTTTTTTATGAAAACTCAGCTCGGCGAGTGTATATAAATTATCGTACGTGTATGTATGTGAAACGCGCGTGTGTCTGGTATGGTATGTGTGTGTCTCTCTCTTTCTCTCTTTGTGAGTTATGTATAATATATGGGACGGTACCTGTAATGCTTTGCTTGTCCTCGCAGATTTTCGTTTTTTTTTTTTCGAAGCAGGTACAGAGTTCGCTGTAAGGAGAATCGTAGAAAGTAAGAATAAAAAAAGAAAAGAAAACAACTCGCGCTCGTAAGTCATTTAATTAACGCTTAACTAAACATAATATAATATAATAGCTGCGTACAGATTCGATACGTATTTATCACTGTAGCTGTAGCTTCGCTTCACCATCTTTTTACAAGGCGGAGTTTACTCGGAAACTCCGAAAATAGGGAAAGAATACGTCGTTCCGCCCTATATATCGTCCTCGCCACTAAATAGTAATAGATAACTTACGATAATTAAAACGTTTTGCAATTTAGTCAGATCTCTAAGAAATAAATAAGTTTTTTTCTTCTTTTAATAAATAGTAGTAAAGTTAAAATCGATTACACAGGATTTTAAGCGAAACGCGAGAGGCGATTTTCCTTTCTCAGCCGCTCTTGTCATTCTCGCATCCTCTCTCCGCGTCGGCAAATTGAGAAAAGGAAGAAACGCTAAAGAGAAAAAGAACAAAAATTTCACCGCAACGAGGATATTCGGGCGAATTGAAGTAATTTTGATTTCTCAGGCTTTTTCCTGTCGCTCTTTTCTCTTCGATCTCGTCTCTTTTAATTAAGTTTTACGCGTGTACGAAATAACTAAAACATATGACGTGAAGTACGATCAAAAGCTGTGTGCTTAGTAAAAAATATTTCATATAAAATATATGTGATTATATAACATAATATATAATATACATATATATAATAATACATAATACATAGTATATTTGTATGTAATATAAAATATGTTCATATATGTTTTCTTTCTCTTGTATAATCTCTGTTTGTATATATTTAAAAAAAAATAATAAAAACAATAATTGAAAAATAATTTAAAAAATAATTTTTGCATTGTTTCTTTTCAAAAAGTAAAATTGCGATTAGATTATACAATATTCTATATTGTATGATCATAATCATATTTTATATACGATTATTACATTTATACATATAATTATATATGGACAATTTTTTGTTATGTCCTCAAACTTCACTTTTTATTAAAAAAAAAAAACAATGCCAAAATTATTCTTTTACTTTTTAATTCTTCTTTTTCTTCTTTTTCCTGTATATATGTATACAAATAGATACAAGAGAAAGAAGACATATATGGACATAATATGTATAATTATATATATATATTTATGTTTTTATATGAAAAATTTTTTACCGAAAGAGTGTAACGCGTAATTTCGTAAATTTCTGTAAAAACAAAAACAGGAAAAAGTTATAGAACGGGAACAGACCTAAGGTTTCCGCGGAGGAGTCGAGGGAACAAAAAAAAAAAACAAAATCGGAGAAGTCCTACGCGACATACCTACTCTCTCAACTAATACAATTCTCGGTTTTCGCGTACTTTCTCTACCCCTGTGCCTAACACGTGGCCGTGTGTGTGTTTCTGTGTGATATTGATAGAGCTCTATGAAATCTACATATCGAAATTAATCGGCATCCGCAAAACTTTCAGGTCGCACTCGCAGACTCGTCGCTAAAACACAGACAGTTACAGCTTGAGAAAGTTCTTAAGACCTTTTTTCTCCCGCTCGCGGGATCCCGGCCGAATTATTACCAGGGGGGGAAGGGGGGTCATTATAATCGAGATCGCGGCGCGAATTCGCCTCGCGCGCGACTCCCCCTTTCTTTCGCTTCCCTTTCGGCCCGGACCCCACGCAGTCTCGCCCTTACATTTTATCGTACCTTTCTTTTCGTTTAATCTTTAATTACGAACATTTAGGAAGATAGCGCTATCGATAATTAATATTTTCTGAAATTTGTTAACATTTTCTATATAAAAATCTGCATTTGCGTGTATTTACTTATTGCTTCTTAATCGCCGTTTTTCGGTAGCCTTCTCTATTTCTCTCTCTTTTCCTTTTTCCTAAGGGAGATTTTGTCATCGCCGTGCGGCCTTCCGATATTTTTCGCTCTCCCCTATCCGTTTTCTTTATCGATACGTCTTACGCGGAAGGAAGTACGGCGAGTCAAAAGATACCAGAGCGCATCCTGGTATTCTTCATCCCGGAGTGTAACTTCGAGCAAACATTTCGTTTACAAGGAAAGCACCGTTGGATCGTGCTTCGAGACAAAAGCGAAACCGATCGATTTTAATCACCGGTTTGGCGCTTTGCAGGCGCGACTCTCGCCTCTTCTTTGATTAAAGAAGGGAATGGGCGAGAATTGGCTGGAAACGCGAAAGACATTCGCTTTGTCGTTGTCTTAATTGTATCTGATCGAGCGCGAGGAATCTCGCCTCCCAAAGCGCGCCGCCCGCTTTTACTCATCGCGATCCAACGTTGCCTCGATATCTTACAACATATATACCTGGAAGAGGAATTGTCTATGCTTCTCGTGGAAAGGATCTGTGTCCACAGTCCAAGTCGGTCCAAGTACTCCAAGTTGGGTGCGAGAGAGAAAGGTAGATTGATAACTTTTGCCCACAATGCGCCAGCGTAGAGATGACGTCCCGCTCATCGTGCTATCCGCGCTTGCGCATTGCGGACGAAGGAATTACTAATCTACCTTTCTCTTTCCTTAAAAAACGTGGTTCTCTCTCTCGCACCCAACTTGGACACAGGCTCGATCCTTCATTCTCCTTCCAGGTACATATGTTCTAAGCTCGATATACATCATCGACTATGTTACTAGCGTTAAACCGTTAAATTAGAAAATTAAAAGAATTTCTCCGTGGCTCGCCGAACTCACTTGGAAGCCGTTTTAATCTCAACGCGCAATATTTCCGTACGCATATATGTCTGCCGCTCCGTTGGTCGCTTTTAAGACAAGTCGCCGGTAACGTGTGTGTATCCCGAGGATACTTACATATCGATGCAGTCTTTACACGAATGCGGATGTAACGAGATACGGTCAAGCAAGCCTCTCCGTCCGCTCTATCTCGCTTTCTCTCGCGTTTTCTAAGGAAAAGAAACGGTTTCCTATTATGGATACATGTATATTGGAATGGACGTTGCATCGCGAGGAAACTCGTCGGTCGGACTGTGAAAATAAAAAAGAGTTTACCCAGTGGACGCGCGTGCCCCGTATCAGTCGCACGCTTCGTCGCTCGCGTATACGTGAGTATTTTGTCCGCGTATATCTTACACCCTCTCTCTGACTTTACATTCATTCTCTTTTTTTTCCGGCTGGCTTTTCTCTTTTGTCACTCGCTAGGATCCGAAGGGAAGAATCGGAGATCAAACGGAGTAGTTTACTATAGTTTCGACTCGATCTCGAGTGAGCGAGCGCGTCCCTTCTTCCGCTCGCATTGCATTTCCGCGATAATGTTGATATGTTAACGCATTGCTCGCTAATAAGGGACGCGTTTGAAACCGTTTTTCCGCACGAACGGATGTCTCATGTGCTTTCTGTCGATAGAGAGTTTCACTCTTCGCTCGTCCCTTATTTCGCAGCGTCGTATTTGTAACACATTACCTATCTTTATGTGTATATGTATATATATATAGAATGATTTTTCGTGATCGCACGCTCGTGTACATACGAATATAGCGCGAAAAATGAGTCGCAGTAGATTCTCTCGTCCACTCACCAACGCAATTTCATTCGCACTCGCATTCACGCGTCCTCTCGTTTTCCGCTCGTTTATCCCGTGTCACGCAGTCTCGGGCTAAAGTAACACCTGTACACTTGCGTTGGCACATGTCCGCTTCGTTCGTTTCGCCGTTTGTCGTTACAATCGAAAGGTATACCTAAATTGTAGGCCGCGCGTACGACGTTCTTGTACAGGTAACACAAAGGCCTGAATCGTAATTTAGCGTTAAAGAGTTAATAATGACAATCTCGCTAACGTTCGCCCTTGCTCTCGATCGATGTACCTACATTGCCGAAGCGACATACGCGCAATAGTGTAATGCACTCGCTACATTCGCTACATGAAATAATGTACCTACATTGTTGTCACGTTATCGATCTCCGAAATCTCGGAAACTATTACGATCCGTTTTTTTGGTACGTTTCTCTCGTGATACGGTTCTTTATTTCTCTAATCATCGTTTTCCTTGTCAGATGCGTATTGCTATGTCGATCATTCGATAAACACGTAACTTTAGTATACTTAAGAAAAGAGGCCAGGAACAGACATATTCGAACGACATTTAGGCCGATATGTTAGCCGTTCAATGATCTATTAGATACATACTAAAATGAGCTGCCGTTCAGTACAAAATGTTACAAAACCTAGCGCGATAATAGAATAGTAAGAAAAAACAATTCGGCTGTAAATCTGAATAAAAGTCTCCGAAGAAAAATATACAGTGTGTACAATCCAACAGTTGTTACACAAGTACTTTAAACTAAAAGGAGAGCGTTCATTAGTGACGAAAGATTTCGCGGCAGTGATTATAGGGATGGCTCGTTTATTTCCGTCGTCAGTCTGATCTTTAGGTAGATCGGTCATCGGAAACGGCCTGAGAAATACGAAAGAGTATTGGCGCTCGTTGTTCGTAGGAGAGTCTTTCGGTATGTTACATTGATCCCGTTAAGAGCCTTTCATCCCGATCTTTCAGGACGTCCTGAAACGAGCTTCGTGAATTATCCGTTCTCGTTAGGCTCGCGTCACGGCGATTTCTTTGACACTTATAGATCGTAGAAGTTCTGTGATAGGTGTATCGTTCTACGAATTCGGTAAAAGTCGTTGCACGTGGTATAGATGCGAGATGGCGAATGCGTGGTCCTCGTACTCCTCCCTCGTTCCTGAGAGAAGTCGTAAATGCGAAGAATGGACTTTCCTTTGACTCTCGCTAACGTGGAATGTCTGCAGCACCGAGTGCTTGAGAATCTCTCGGTTATAAGACGGCGTTCGCGTATCGCTTCGGAGATGTGAAAGCTTCATCTCGAGTCAATCGCCGTTAAGTTCGTCGGATCTATTCGCGCGCGAAGAAATATTCTCTCGAGGACATCGTCGCTCTGACTAGGTAATCACGAGTCCTAGATGATACATGAGGGGAAGTCGTCGTCTCCCACCTCGGAGGCGACGCGTCGAGGCGCCTCGAATGAGCGGAAATTCGTGAGATCCATGGAGTAGCGATGTTCTCTGCCGATCAGCTGATTTCTATGTACGATCCGTTCGCGGGATTTGAGGTCGCGGCCGCGGTTACACGAGGAAACCCTGCGAGGTGGCGGACATCTGCGCCCGTAACGCCGTCACGCTGTTCATGATCTTCTTCTGATGTCCCACGAGCGTGATGCCGAGGGCCGTGAGCTCCTGGACGGTGACGCGCGCCGCCGCCTCCAGCGTCGTCACGCCCGCCCGCTCGAAGCTCTCCGCGTATCGTGACATCTTGATGGAAGCCAGCCACTCGCTGACGGAATTCAATTGCGTTAGGTCTACCGCGTCCGGCGCCAGTGGATTTGTGCCCCTGTCAAAAATAACAAGTTAAGAAATGTCTCCTTGTACGAATGAATAACGTTCACAGCGGGGAATAAGTTAGGGCACACGAGATTTCAGGGTTCCTTAAATTCTTTTGCTATCCAAATACATTCACATTCGCATAGTCCAAATGTATGTTTTAGATGCTTTGGTCGTTTTGCTATTGACTACGCCACAAGTTAATAACAGAGAAAGCTAAGGATAAAATAAAGAAGACTATTGTTCGGCTGTAGACTGCTCGACATTTCGTCATCGTTATTGAAGTTACTAATGTCTTCGTTATTTCATGGGATATCAAAGAAATCATATGTGGGATATCGTTCTATTATCAATAATATAATATATATATTAGGAATATAACATAATATTCCTAAATTGATTGAACTTTAAATAATTATGTTTTACTTCTATATAAATTATACTATAAGCATGTATTATTGGCTGCAGTAAAACGCAACCGTGATCCTGGCTTACACGAAGGAAGGAAATATTATACACAAATGTTTAGATATGATACAAATTGTATTTTAAGTACATAAAATTATTATTATCACGTCGATTTTTGAGGTGGAAATAATAAATCAATCAAAATTCACTAGTCTAAATTCTAGAATATCTGCACAAAAATCTAAAAATGATGATTTGGTTGATATAATTTATTTCACAAGTTTCTGAGAATAATAGAATGTATAAAGCCTTAACTTAGATGAAAAATAGCTATTTAAGTATATACAATTGGCTCCTAGATCGTCTCTTATGGATATATGTGTAATATTGATCGGCCTTGTATAAATTATAAATTACGAATTATACATTTTAGAAAATAAGCATAGCCGATGTTAGCGTATATATGATTAAGTAAGTTTTGTGCATCATTTTTGTACAACGTTATATACAGGCGCTACGAAACTTAAATACCGATGCAAACGTACAATCTCTCTTCGTCTCGACAATAATGCTAAAAATTAAAATTAAAATTAAAGTAATTATTTTAATCAAAATAATACTAATAGTAATAATACGTAACACATGTAATAATAAGACAAACACCGCAATAAAAGTGATACAAATGCTAATAATGACGGTAATGACGACACAATGACGATGTGATGACAATAATGAGGATGATAGTAACGCTAACTGCTAACAATACTACAATAGTACTGTTGACGAGGACGGATGTATCATATGTAACATGTTAGTGATACAGTTTACAGTTGACGTGTATGTACACGTGAATGGATTACGGTGCGTACGAAGGCAAGCAGTGCAACACAAACTAAGAGGTTTACCAAGCAGGGAGACCGCTGTCTACGTAGCGGTGATATTTCATTATCGCGTCAAAGAAGCAGAGAGAACGTGAAAGCACAGTCAGCATAATCGAATAGTCGAAACGTTAAAGGGCGAACTCTGTGTTATCTAGGACACTGGACCAAACGGAAACGATTGCGCTTTGTTCGTCTGCGCTTCTTTCTTTTCTTTTCTTTTCTCTCTCATCCACAAAGGGGATTCGGTGTGTGGGAAATTCGCCGCTTTTGGACTCTCTTTTCTTTTTTTCTTTACCTGTTTCTCAAATGCACGTTGGAAGATTCCGATGAGGCAGGTGGGGGCGAGGGTGGAGCACCCCTTTCCCTGATTCTGACAATTGTTAGCATTTGTTAGTGCGATGGAGGTCATACTAGGTGTGTGTTTCTATCTGCAGGCTAGCTAGTTTCAACCTATCTGGCTTTGATTTCCAAATTTTATCTCTTTCCTATCGTTCGCGCGTGTATTGATGCGAATACTTGCACGTTTTCTTTTACAACATTAAAGTTAAACTTCACAGCTTCGAATAATTTTAAGCTTTGTATAAATAGCAGTTTATGTTTGATCATTAAAAAATAAATGAAGAAATAAAATGAAATGAATTCCGTGTGATCAATACTTAAACATAACTACGAAAGAATTTCGGCAAATCGTTTTATTCCTGTCATCGGATAAGTGCCTCACCTCCGGTCCATGTTGTGACAAGTTTTTAATATAATATTTGCAGAGAACGTAAAGGGGGAAATAGTCCAAATAGTGAATTTTGCAATCAATATGTTATCGTAAATCAATCATTTCTCTTGGAATGGCGTGTCATTTATCGCATTCTGTGAGAATACTTTAGAATTTAGTGTTATGATTACGATCATGATGGATTCATCGATGTGGAAATACGACCTAACAGTGTTAATTGTTAATTACATCGTCCCTTATTTAATATATTACGTATAAAAATACTATTCTAAAATGGTCAACCGGTCGCACGCGTGCTGTACATATGCTAATAAATCTTTGCAGCTTTCGCTAAGATAAAATCGATGGCTTTAATAAATTACACGATAAATACTTATATCAATTTAATGTAAATGACGTGTGGGGTGTCGTAAGACTATGGCTGTTCTTTTGAGCAATTTGCAGACGACCTTTTCCTATTAAAAACTTCGTTTGTTTTTTTTTTTAGAGCCTAAATTGACCAAAAAATTCCCAGCCGAAAAGAATGACGTTAGTTCTGGGACACCCTCTGTAAATGTATGTGTGATTGCGTGTACATGTGTCTTTTTTCTTCTTTTTTTCTTTATACGTATATCAATGAAAGCTATGACCGCTAATATAGAATTATGAGAACACCTGAAAGACTCTAGTTGCTTTTATGCACACCACGTTTAATCGCCTTTTGCTCTCTAAGCTCGCTCTTTAAACCTATATTGCTATTCGATGGTTGAATTTATTCTTTATAAAATTTGGAAACACTCTTAAACTCTCAATTTATATCCCGTTTCAATTTCAATCAATAATATACGCTCTAACGGTAAAGTTTATTGCTTAGTTCAACGTAGAGAAATTCTCTGTATATATCGTCTAACATTTATATCTACGCTACATCCTCGCATTTGTCGATAATTCATAGTAAAAAGACTGGAAAAGAGATTCTTTTATGACGGTACTACTCTTGTACATACAGTCTATAGCCCTTCGATAACATATTATCGGCCGTATTATATCTCTATATTCGTCACATCTACTATTCCATCCGACACGACTTGGATTATACTATTTTCTACTATCTCGCTGAAAGAGCGACTATAATTTCCCTACGACTAGCGCGACCGTAAAAGATAATGCGAATTGCAATGATATAGAATGCAGTCTTTTGAGATCCGTCCAGTTTAAATGCCAGGCATTAGTTCTGATGGTTAGAAAGACGGGCGGAGATGACGATAATGATGATGATGATGATGATCTTGCGCGTTCTAATTCAAGCGTAACCATTCTCAGCCGAAATGAGAGAACGGGACCCAATTAGGATAGGTGAGCGATGGTTGTTGGTGTGGCAATGCGTGTGTCGCTGCGTGTGTGTGATAGTGTAAGCTACGGCCGGCTCCTGGTGGCATTACTGGAACGGCAATCGCTGACTGGGCATGTTGATGGGCCTGATGGCCGACTATGTCTACGAACGGGCTCGCCGTGCTCGCGGCCGGGCCTGGTGGCATCGCAGCCGCCGCCGCAGCCGCCGCTGCCGCCGCAGCCTGGGCGGCAGCCGTATGGCTTGTGACATAGTACGGATTGTGTGCAGGCGGCCTCACGCTGTAGGCGATGGTTGTTGTTGTTGTTGTCGTGGACGATAGTTGTCGACAGTTGCGTTGCAGTTGCGGTAGTTCGTAGTCAGGTACCAAAGGACACCACAAAACCAAAAGCACAAAGAATTAGCCCAGGGGGGAAAAAGAGGCGGAACGAAGGAATTAGGAGAGAAACCAACGAGATTTCCAAATGCAAATATTGTGCCCCATTGGCATAAAGATAAAACGCGAGAACCGATACGCTGTTTCGCGACCAAAAAATATGCGAAATAATGTAATGAAATAATGTAATGTTTCGTCCATGCCAATGGGATACTCGGAGAATGTGAGGGAGGAGGCTTACCGGATTTCGTTGCGATTACAAGTTTTAACTCTCGTAGGAAACGCGGAAATTATAGTCAGACCACTTGCTATATAAATGAATATTTTTATCTCGTTAATATTTTATAAATATTCTACTCGATCGTAGGCAAAACTCAACTTTGTCAAAGAGAAAAGCAACATAAAGGTATAAAATTAGCCCCCTCTTAAACATAGCTCTTGTAAAGAATAACTGAAATGCGAGTCATAGACTCAAGGAGCGTAGAAACGTTAAGCGGCGAAAGCAATTGAAAGCTCTGTTGAAGTCGTCGCATAATGCATGATCTCGACTAAGTCCCCGGAACACGGTAAAAAAGTATTCTACACAACTGACAACGTAGACTTTCGTCCATAAATTAATTTTTCCGCCAGCTAATTCTGGAAACCTCGCTCGGCCAAGTGCATTTTGAAGCGTAAAGCAGCATCCGTTTACGAGGTAAAAATGTGACTCTTCGATATCGAGAGATTACGACGAGACGTCGTGCGAAAAGTGTATGCTATTGCGAGAAGGAAAAGAGAAAGACTCGAATTTTCAAGTCGATCCAATGATCATCTTGTTCTCTTCCCTTCTCACGCGTGCGTGTCGGAAAATAAACGTCAGTGGCGTAGACGCAGTAATACTAAATAAATTTTGACGACTGTTTTACTTAGGGGATATGTCGAGAGTATACGTAGAGATACTTGGAAAAAAAAAAACAGAAAAAGCACAAACATAAAAAGCAAGTGCTAATTGTATAATGCAGTCCAGTACGTGTATGCCTGCTTCCAGTAATGCCAATCAGGTCGAGATGTTACGACGGCGCGAGTACGAGTATGCAGACATTGGCCTTCCTTCTGAGTACATACATATGCACGAGCACATCATATATATAAGTGTGTACGATTGTAGGCTTGTGCGGGACGTCATACATCAATGAGCCACAATGCCGAATCCCATTCTAAGTGGCGTGAAACGGATGTAGTATGATCCACGCGTGAGCGTTTCGGTGAATGAATGAAAATAATTATTAGCTGTCGAGAGAAATTAATTTATGGACACGATACATAAGTCACGTAGCATGCGGCGTGATTCTTATTAAGATATTAATGAACGAGCGACTCAACGAGAGATAAATAAAAAGGAAAAGAACGTTGAGACAATGTCAATGAAAACATATGATAACTGCGATTTGCGAACGTGCACTCGAAGCACTTAAAGCAAATTTTATTCGTTGTGCGCCGATTATATCTTACGCATTCCGTCACATTTCTTTCATTTACGTTGGACGATGATAATTATATCGTTTGCTCGAGATTTTTGATCCATAAGACGGATCAAATTTCCTAATACCGTTTTTGCGACTAACTTATCCTAAAATTCGTTTCGCAATTTTATATCAGCATTTGGCGATTACAATGACAAGTTACAATGATACGTGGGCGCTTTTACCTGTTCTGAGCGATTTTTCTCAGCGTATCCGGACTTCGTATGAGCTTGTCCAAAGTTTGTGTGAGATTGGCAAAGGTCGGCCGATGGGTGCGCTCTTTCTGCCAGCAATCGAGCATCAGCTGATAGATCGCTTCCGGACAGTCCATCGGCGCTGGAAGCCTGTAGCCCTTCTCGATCGACTTTATCACATCTTGATTCGACCAGTTCCAGTACGGCCTCTCGCCGTACGACATCACCTCCCAGCATACGATACCCATGCTCCAAACGTCGGAAGCGCTCGTGAATTTACGGAACGCTATCGCCTCCGGTGCCGTCCACCGTACCGGGATTTTGCCGCCCTGAATACAAACGATAGATTAATTAGGTGAGAAATTATACATATGTTTGAGTCTCGTATACGCCACTAGCTTCTACGAATTTTGACTCCACAACTTGAATCTGTCGCTCACCCTGGTCGTGTAAGCTCCCTCTGTGGCACTCTCGATCTCTCTACTGAGTCCGAAATCGGCGATCTTGCAAACCAGGTCGGCGTTGACTAACACGTTCCTCGCGGCAAGATCACGGTGCACGTAGTTCATCTCCGCGAGGTACTGCATACCGCTAGCGATGCCGCGCAGCATGCCCACCAGCTGGAGCACTTGGAACTTGCCGTCGTTCGCGCGCAGGAAAGTGTCCAAGCTACCGTTCTCCATGAACTCCGTGATGATCATCACCGGATTGCTTTTCGTCACTACGCCTTGTAGGAATATCACGTTGGGATGCTCGAACTGACCCATTATCGACGCCTCTGTCAAAAAGTCGTTACGGGCCTTGTCTGCGGAGCCCGGCTTCAGGGTCTTTATGGCCACGTCTATCTCTGTCCGTCCGTCGGGAGGCAATTTTAGCTTCCCTCGGCACACATCGCCGAACTCTCCACCACCTGTGATCATAAGAAAATTGTCAAGAGTATAATCGAGTTACTAAAACTACCTTATTTAATAACTGCTGGATAATATCATATGATAATGTACAGAACCGCACCTATGATGGCTTCTATCGTGATATATCCAGCATCTATTTCCCTGGCGAATTCGCGTACCGCCTGATTCGGGTCCTCATAGGTGTGAGGATCCACGTAACTCCTTGCACCTGCACCGCCTGCGCCGCCTGCGCCCGCCGCGGCGACCCCCACTGCAGGTGTGAACAGCGGCGTGGTCACTGCAACGTCACGAAAACAGAGTTCATTATATTAACACGAGGGCCGGTGGTGCGAAATTTTGACAGAACTCTAGACCGCGCGTCCCAACATTCGCTCTATCGCACGGCCAACCGTGTCAAATCCCGCAAAAAAGAAACACTCACACATTCTTTCTCGTCAGCGAGTTTAAAATTTCCAAAAAACAAGACACAACCAAGAAAGCCAAACGCAGGTGGATTCTAAAATATATCTCCTCTTTTTTTTCTCAGTCCCACTTTAGTTGAAAGTCATTTTTTTTTACTTGTATATGTGTTTATCTAGCTTAGAATCTGGTTTGTTTAATGTCGAACGGCGGTGTCTATGTGCGCTAAGAAAAATTCGCGCATAGCCAATCCACATGCCAAAATGCACAATTTCTTGCATGCCATTACTTCAAGATCATTGCGATACATCCCAAAAATCCAGCGATTCTTTTACACCGCTCGTCCCGGATGTTTCAGACGATTCAAACAGTTTTCTCTCTCGACGGCGCCTCTCGTCTCCAATCTTCTTTATTCAAACCAATTTAGTTTCTATTTGAGCCGTCTGGGAACATCCAAGTATTTTGCATATATCGTGGTAAGAAGAAAAGCGATCGCGAAGCACGATCGCCTGGAGTAAAATAAAAGATAAGATAAAAAAAAATTAGATGCAAGAACATGATGCAATTGCCTGCGAAACACGGGGCCGCGGCATGCTTTTATTTTATATATACCTCCGAACTTTTCATCCATGTCGCATATCTAGGACAGTGAAGAAAGAACAGAACATAGCGTAGCGTAACTAAAGCTAAACTATAACAATCGTGGAGAACTCAGAGTGTATACGAGTGTCGGTGCGTACGGTTATGCCTTCAATATATTGTACGGACGTATCCGGCGTTTTTTTTTCCTTCGGACGCGAGAAATTTGGGCCGGAGATTATTTTTGGAAACAAAGGACTTACGCGAGGACTTGCTCTTGTTGTTGGTATGGGTTGTCACAATCGGTGAACTGTCCATTTTGCAGTGCACTGTGAACAACACAACAACCAACACACTAATTGACAAACAGCAAAACAAAAAGAAGCTGCGGGTGATGAATTCTTTTTTTAATGACGCAAAGCGAGAAATGGCACAGATATATCTTGCTTCGATCACAAATGAAATAATTATGAAAGTATGTATAATCGGATTTAAGTAAAAATTATTTCCGGTATTAGAAAATCAACGCGCTGATTAAAAAGATACGCTCCTTCAAGCGTATCTCTATTTTCCTTTTATCTTTTATATTTTTTCTGATATGTTTCGCGAATCAAATCCAGATACATATAAAAAGCACATACGTTATTAACATCGACACACTGACAAATACGCATGCAATTGAAACGCGGAACAATGCAACACAACAAACACACGCAAGCACAATGCGCACATACGCGGGCACGCGTAATGTGTATCTAAGAAAATTAAGGTGTCGTGCAAAATTGTTACGCGGGCGCGCGCACGTGTGTTTGTTGGTGCATGTGCGTACGTGTGATGTGTGTATATGTGTGTATATGCAAAAGCGTAAAGTCTGACTTAATTGAGAGTGTAATGCATGTACAGGGGTTGCAAAAATAATCTACACAAAATTGAGTTCCTAAAAAACAAAACTTGAGGTGTTTGGAGAAGACTTACTGTAGGTCACAACTAGTCCTGTAGTAGCAGGCGATTGTGTACATTGTTTCATTGGATTTTTTCATGGATTTTTCATGGAGGCAGGTTCGATAGATTAGGGGAATCGCACATGAAAAGAAAGAATCGAAAGAATTTGGTTAGAATAATCGCACTCAGGCAATGGGCCAGATCGGTGTGAATTTTGGCTGGAAAGCGATCGTTTCTCTTTAAGTCCCTGTCGCGGACGTATTTCAGAGCCCGACTGCTTTCTCTTCGCTCATTTTCTCTATGGTGTTAACGTTCAGCTATCTCTCTTTCTCTCACTCTCATCCGTAAAAAAATCTCTACTGGGGGGGGGGGGTGTTTAACGTATTATGGGTCTGTTTGTATATGGGGTATAGTTTCGACACTTGCTGGATCTAAGGGGGGCCAGTGAATTCAAAGTTAGTCACAAGACACGAGGGCGTAATGAAACAACTATGAAAGTGACAAGGTTGTAAGGGCGGGGGTAATAGCGATAATAAATCTTTAAACAGAGAAATTTCGAGCAAAATGCAAACGTACCTTCGCCGTTTCTGTATTCCAGGGTGTCACAGTCGCTCGGCTGCTTCTTGTTGCATTCATCCGAGGCCCTGCTGCAACGAAATCCCACGATATCAGCCGAATTGAACAAAGCGATTGGAAAGAAGCAAATTTTCGCGCGTTGGTACGCGATAACTCGCAATATTTGAGGTATATATTTCTAATATTGAAAATGATTCAATTACCTTCTAAGAATCAGAACAGTCATGATAATAATAATCACGAGAAGTACAACCACAGCAACGATCGCCCCTGCGATTATCCTAACTTGCATGTTGTCGTCCTCGCCAACGTAGTCTGCGTGAAACGTTCGTGTTAGAGGCGCGGTACAAGGGAGATTGCGAAATGTGAATCTAAAAGCCGCTGAACGCGCTTACCTAGGCCCATGGCGTGGGGTGTCTTTTTAAATATCACCGGCGTGTACTCGCCCCAGCCGCGGGTGGTCTTAGCGCGAACCTGTATCGCGTAATCCGTGGAAGGCTTGAGACCTTTGAACGTGGCAGACAGCTCGGACGTTTGAATGACGGTTGCATTAGTGGCGTCGTCGTAGCGCGGGTAACACTTCACTGTACCAGATATCGAGACGATTATTAATCCTTCCGCCGCCACCGCGCGATCGAGTGACAATTTAGAGTTGATTTCGCCGTAAAATGGCGTAGCAACGCAATGTTGCTACGGCTCTCTTTAGCTTTACCTTCGTATCGTTCGACAAGATCGTTGTCTCCGCCGGTCCCGATGTCCGGCGCGTCCCAGCTGATGCTGAGCTCCGAGCTCTTGACACTCGTGATCCTGACGTTGCTCACGAGACTCGGCACGCTCGCCTCCGTCGTGACGGTGATGTCCACGTATTCCGATTTGCCGACCAACGACGATACGCCGTTCTCGGCGAACACTTGGAAGCGATAAGTAGTCACCGCGTTCAGGCCGGTTATCGTGATCTTCGTGTCGTTGAAGATCTCCTGTCGCAAAATCGAAGCGAATCCGTGCGTCAACTTTTCGATCAAGAAATAATTCAACTATCGCGCAATTTGTATACATCGCGTATAATATACGACTTTGAAGAAAACTCACGGTATTGGGAATGTATTTGACGCCCATGCTGCAGGAATCGCAGTCCACTCTGTAAGTCGTGTCGGATCTGCCACCCTGCATATGCGGCGCGTTCCAGGAAAGGATCACTGTAGACTGATCGACAAAGTTGACGGTCAGGTTTTGCGGCGCCGAAGGTGGTTCTGCAAGAAATATATTCTTGAAGATTTTCGCGGAACTCCGTCCTCCAAATTCTCTCCATCCCGCATCTCTCCCGCTTACGCGACACTTTTCATTTAACGCAATATATCGCAACCCACAAACATTACATCGAACAGTTAATATAACACAAGTATACATGCACAATTTAATATTTTAATGAAGACTCTAATCTTTTGGTCGTTCTTTGAAATTCCTAGATCTTGTGATTATTTGGACAATTTACCTTTCTAAAATTGAAAATAACGATGAGTGTTTTATAGAAAGAATTTCTAAGTTTAGTTCGGTCAATACTCACGGGTGCAAGGCATCTTTTTGGGATCCTTTTCCGCCCGATAATAACCCGGATCGCAACGACACTCCGTGAAGCCGTAATCGGAGGCTTTGCTGTGCTCCGGGCATGGCTCGCAAGCTTGAGAACCCGCCTCGTGTTTAAACTTGCCTATCGGACACTCCTTGCATTCTTGCTTGTCCACGTCAGCTTGGTAGCCGGGCTTGCAGTGGCATCCGCCCGTTGGGAGGTACCATTTGCCGTCTCCCTTGCAGAGGAAAGTCGGCTGGGCGATTTTGACGGCATTCGGGACGCAAGTGCCGCGCGTTTGCTCGATAAGCGCAACCTCGCGACCGGTCGGCGTGGCTGGGAAATGGGCGAAGTTCACCGAGATCTCGGGGCAGCTGATGTAGTATACCTTGATGGCTAGGATCGATATACAGGCGCCCTGGTCACGAAAAGCGAAGTAGACGCCCTTCTTCGTCACCGGGATCGACTTCACCTCGGTGTTTATCACCACCTCGGTGTTCGTGTTGAACCTACCCTCGCCCGCGGCTATCCGACCTGCAAATACGTCAAATCAGCATGAAAAGCCGTCCTAAATATTGAGATTGATCGACGAGTTTACATCGATAACGGATGTATGAAAAATATAGAAAATCTAATTATGCAAAGTTAAAGCTATTCTTAATATCTCTTTTAAGGAATGCAAGCTTTTAGATTTGTTATCCTCGAAATAACATCATTATCGTATTTCCGAGGTGAATCCTTTAATTGCCATTGCTTTGTTGCATCATCGCTCACCAATAAGTTTGTAACTGTCCGGCTCCCACGGGGGTGGCTCCTTGGTCGCGGCGTCGAACTCGTAGTAGAGTAGACTGAAGGTCTCCTTACAGCTGAGAGCGTTCCCGGGAAACAGCGAACAGTCGCGAGTCGTGAAATTGATTTCTATGTACATGCGGTTCGCCGGGCCCCTCTCTATGAACGGCGTCCACAGCCAATTGTTTACGTTGGTGTACGCTACGTCGCACACAACATAACTCCGCCAATTGATACCCTTGTCGAAATTCGTAAACGACTCCTCTACCCACTGTGGAACAGATTGCAAAGAAAGAAAGTGACATTAACATGTGTTTCAGAGGAATCCTTTCTTTTTTCTATATCTAGTTCTTAGCTGAAGTTAATGAGACCGGCGTGGACAGTGGTCGAAAACGGAAATCCTTTGAAAGTATTGATGAAAGCGATCACATTTCGTGCAGGAAGGCATCCGACACTTAAAATCTGCGATGTTAACCCAATTCTACGTGTTACCACCAACCGCGACGAAAGCGAGAAAGCACCACCCGCTGTCGTCATTGTCGTCGTCGGCCGACATTGGCCGTAGAATCCTCCCTCGGTAAATGACGAGGCGGAGAGGCCAGGTCGTCGACTTGCGACAAACAGACCGCAAGGAATTACCGGCGCGCGTTACCATTAGTTTTATTGCCCCCCTCGGCTCTCGGGCTCGTCCCAAGAGCGACCGCAAAAAGTTCCGACCAGGGCAAGAAGGATCCATCGTCGTCGTCCTCGCCGTCACCGGAACCCCTCTCTCTCTCTCTCTTTCCCTTTCTCTTCCCTTCGTTCTCTCTTACTCCTCTCTCCCCCGCCATCGCCACAGTCGCTCTCCGGCTCTCCTCTCCTCGCCGATCTTTTTTTACGCGCCTCTCCGCTCCCGCGTATTTCATACTCGGACCAGGAAAGACTCGGCAGGTAAGGAGTGACAAAAAACGGTAGACCAAGGTAGAGCTCGTGAGCCTCTTATCCAGAAGATTTCCTCGCGGACGTGTTTCCGGCAGGCGGGCTGCAATAAATTCAGCCGCGCCGGCTACCCGGTTGCAAAAGGGAGATTATTACGGGGACGATGACGAGGTCGAAAAAATTTCATTAAAGCGCTGCCGGCGAAAAAAAGCTTTTTCAGCGGTCCGTGCGCGCCCGAAAGTACCAGCAGCCCGGGAACCACGGAGGTGCAGTCCCGCAATTCGCCGTCGTCCGCGCATCGAATTACGATCCGGTACCCTTCGCACGCCTCCGATCGCAATTAATAGTTTTTAGCGAGGTTTGCGAAACTGGATTCGTGCCGCTTTTAAAGTAAGCACACGGTGCGCTCTTTTGCGATAGAATATACTCGCGCTCGCTCGCTTGCTCGCTCGCAGGTGTAATTGGGTTAATGGATATCACACATCGCTTTATACACGGATATGAGAATGAAAATTCGGGATCTATCGCGCGTCCTCTTTTATCCCGCTTTATTAGGATAGTTATTTTCCCTATTTTCCTACCAATCGATATCGTCACGTTTCGCCTCGGGGATTATTAAGTAGAGAAATGAGAAAAACACACCACTATCTCCGCCACGTATTTCGACGCCTCCACTCTGAGGTTCTTTATCGTCCGGGAAATTTCATTAGGACGGTAAAATTCATCCTCCCTTTCGGCCGCTTCGTGGCCGTGTCTATGCCTGCTGCTTTCATCCTCGCTGCAAGCTGCGAAGAAAAGACGGAGGAGAGACGCGGCGTCGTTAATGCCGCGCGGCATTTAATTGGATCGCGCCGAGAGTCGTCCTCGTTTTAATGCGCCGCGTCGATTTTTCGGCGAGACGGATTTCCCACTGGCGTGACCGTCCCGTGAAATTGCTCGTCGAAATTGAGAAGAAAGGCGATTAGCCACCGCATTATAATCTCATTGCAATCCCACGGTATCGTTTCCGTGAGCCCTGCGCGCACAGGCAGCGTAAAACATTCTTCTCGTTTTGACTTTAAAGACAGAAGAGGAGAGATCGACTCTTATTTGAGATTTACATCCCAAGCAAGATTTGTAATGTAGAAAAAGTTATAATATAGATCTCGTAATTTGTCTTTGAGAATTTTTCTCAATATTTTTAGTAAATTGTATTATCAAGCTTTCCATGCGGAGTGAAGATTGAAAGCATATAACATAATGCTATGGCTTAATGTGGAAATATCATTGGGTTTAGCAGAGTATATAGCATATAGTCTCTTTCTTAAACGTACAGTTACCCGATTCTATTAAGTTATGACCGGTAGATTGTGCGTATCGCACAATCGACCGACGATCGCTCGATGCGACGAAAACTATGCCGTGGTCAGCGTCTTTGTGGTCAAGTATCGATCGCGCCGCCCTCGCCTCGCCGTCTCGCAGCAGGTAGACGTGTCTCGCTATTTTCCGCATTGGCGGCGAAAGCACGAAGCGAGAGAGCGGAGAGAGCCGGCACGTGCAAACCACCAATTCGGTTTTTCTCAGCCCTCGCCTTCCAGAGGGTAGCGACGCCACCGTCCGGATGATGAATCGCAAAATTGTATTAAAGCGTGACATTCCATTTGTACTATTTCTCGCACGTATATATCCTCTCATCGAGGTAAAAGCTTCCCGAGTCTCTATTTTGTGCACCGTAAGCCTTTGTTGTAGGATAATAAGCAAATATCCTCGTCCGGGCTGACTTTTATTACTCTAACTAGCTATTTGACCTGGTTTATTTTTCATGGTTAGGCATCTGTAATTTGCTCGAAAAAAGCAACGCTGACAAAAGGCAGCACACTTTGGGGGCCATATGGTTGACGTGGTCGAAACTACCTGCGAGCTACCCTATGGTGCTTTCGCTGCTATCCTAAAAAGAAAGCATTTGCCGCCCATGGCTCCTTTCTCGCAGATCAAATCGTGGCAAGTAAATAAATACGAGTCGCGAGTCGATGGCGATGGTGAGTCTCAGAAGTAAAGTCAATAAGCTCAGAATGTGTGCGCGCGCGCCATCGAAATGAGCAGAAAAAGAGGAAAACTAGAGATAGACGTGGGATACTGCCACCCTCGCGGATGGAGCGTTGCCCCTACGCCAGTAATATCGCCACCATAATCGCAATTCCGACGGCGTAGCCGGATAGGGAGGTTAGCGAGAGTCTGTAGGAAGACTTCCACGAGCAGGAAGGGGAACGTTACGAACTTTTAGTCCGAGGGGTTCGCGAATCTTAATATATATTGAGCTCTCTCGCGCTAGGGGGGAGGAGATTAACCCTCACCCTCGGGTTGCATCGACAGGCACGTAGGGCTCTCTCCTCTCCGTCGAGGTACGTGCATCCGGCACTACGGACCGCTCTCGCGACGGACACGTACCGCATCCAGACGCGATCGAACTTTCCCCCGTTCTCCTTACCATCACTTAGCCGACACCTTCGGGAGAATCGAACGCTAATTGTGTTCATGATGAAATTACAAGGAATAAAAGATCGTTATTAGAGAAGTTTAAACCTGTACTTAATATTAATTAAAATTAATACTTTCAACATTGGTATTAGATATATATGAGAAAAGAAGGGAGAGAGAGAGAGAGAGAGATAGAGGGAAAATGTGTGTGCATGTGATGTGAACAATATTATTGTAGTTGGAATTCTAAAGACACGAGTAATTTCGGTAGATAAGTAAAGGAGCGTATAGAACGTATAGAAGCAGTAGTGAGCACTTCGTCAATTATCCTCTCGTAGGAAGTTCATTACTTCGAGCACGGTCCGACTCGTGAAATGGTCGTCGCTTTAAATACAATGGCACTGATATCGTCCGCGATATAATATAGCGCCCGGACGAGGGTAGTTCGTCCATTACGGGCGAACAAGTGCACATATGTGTATCCCCGGGCAGGGTGGGCGGCCATCCCTCGGACACAGGGGTGGTTACGCCACGCGCCAATCGAAAACTTTATGTAACCGTTTATTCCGCGCACCCCAAAGCCGATATAACCGTATTTCGGGGCAAAAGATTGGCAGGAAGGCCGTTTAAGGAGCATTTTCACGGCTCCTCGGTACTTAACCGAGATTCCTCTTTCTCTTTCTCGTATGTACGTAAACGTGTGCGAATATATATGTACGCGTGTATGTACGCATGCGAGGGGAGAAAAGATCGTCGGTAAAATAAGGAGCCCGGGGGTGTGAGAGAAGGTGTCGGGTGAGAATTTATTTCTGGATTATTCGAGCCAAAGGGAAATGCTTGTGGGGTGCGGATCTCCTTTCCAGAAAAGGACAAATCGTTCTCCTTCGCGGGATCGAAACGCTGTTGGGAGAAGCAATTTCCAGCCGCGAGATTTACGACGCAAAGATCGACTCCTCGTTTCTTACGGAGGGATCGCAAAATTCGGCTATGCCAATATCCGATGACCTAACCCGATGTTTCTATTTGCCGCGCCGCGCGGGCCTGAATTGTATTGGGGATGATACAATGTCTTCATGAAGAAAAAAAAGTTCCTGCCTAACGACAAAAAAAATTATCCTCCTCATATACTCCCAATATTTCTCAGGTAATATAATCGAAGAAGACATCATCCTAGCGACTATACTTGATTTATTATATACATACATTAAACGACATATTATGTATGCTCTTTCGAGAATTCGTAATCATTCATCAAAGAATCATATTTTGATGTTTACAGGAAGAATCTGCTTCACGCTATGACACGACATTATGATACTTACAATTAATGAGCGCCGTCTATATCGCCTTCATTAAGCTTCCCGACGTGCCGGGAATATCTTCCTAGGATTCAAGATTATTTTAAAGAAACAGGTTTTCGAGCGTGCCCGTCTTTTTTGTCGAAATCCATCGTCGATAAGCTGCTCGCTACTTGTCGGCGCGGCCGACGACGGCTCGTGTATCTTATGATAACCACCCATCCGTAATGAGCTTAACCGTCGTCGTAATATTTCGAGTTAGCGCGGTGCACGTCGTCAGCGTCGCGTGTCAGGGGGGGCTGAACGCCCCTGATGAGACAGCGCACGTCACGCGGTAACAAGAAGGGCCGTACGGGGGCCACGTGGACTGAATCAGACAAGCTTGAATTTCCCCGCGAGTCTCCCCGCTCGAGAATCTTTCGGAGATTAAAGCGGCTGCACGATAGTTCAAACCCAATTATCGGCCACACAGATATGAAGAAGATAAAAAAAAAATATGTTCTTAAAAAGAACATTTTATATGGACAATATGTGGCGTGCTGAAAAGTAGAGCAACAAATTTCAATTTTCCTCGGAATTATAAAGTCTTTCCATATAT